CTGAATGGTTATCGCATCTTAATGAAATAGAAGTTACGTTAACTTCTAAAAATAAGAAATCTTTAATACAAAAATATAGTAAATATAAATAATTATTATAATTTATTAATATTTAATTAATAATTAAATTATTTATTTTCTTTATAGAAATAAATGGAAAGAATATTCTTTTTGAATTACTTTCTATAGAATTTTCAAGATCTTTTCTGGTTGATATCATGCATTTATTTTTTGAAAATGTTACGCCACATATGTTTAAATTGTGGAGTGGTCGATTTTTTAAAGAATATACTTTAAATAATTTAATTCCTTTAAATTCAATATAAAAAAATTAATTTTATTATAATAAATCAGAAATTTTTATTTTTATTTTTTATTTTTAAAATTTTTATTAATTTTCTTATTTTGAATTTATGATAACGGAGCATGCATATATGCAATAACAAAAAAAATTTTTTTGAAACATAATAATAAATTATGCATGTATGAATGTATTTGTATGTAACATTTAATTACTAACAAATGATATACAAAGAAATTAATTGATTTTTTTTTTTTGTAACATGTAACAAATTATTTAAAAAAAAAATGAAAAAATAATATTAAAATCATCTAAAATTTTTCTTTTTTTTTTTAAAAAAAAAAACTATTATTTAAATTAAAATATTAAATTCTACAAAACATTAAATTTTTAAACAAAAATGACATACAAATCATTAGAAAAAATTGATGCAGCATATGTTGAACCAGCAAATGAAACCAAAAAAAATAGAAAAAAAAGGTTAGATAATAAGAGATATGCTAGAAAAAGATTCCTTGAAAGACAAGAAAGAGAACAAAATGTTGAGGCTGAGACTGGACTATCAAGAAGAACAAGGTCCCAATTTGAAGATAATGCTTAACTATCTTTTAGAACAAGATCCAAAACTACTAAAAGTATAAATTTGAGAAGACAAAGTTTAATTATTTAACAAATATCTCAAAAAAAAAATGATAGTAAAGAATAAAAAAGAAATTATGATCGTAAAAGATATATTGCAAAACAAGAACAAATAAGAGCACAATTCTTAAAATTAGGACATTACAATATAGATAATTATACAGAAGATAGAGTGGAAAACAATAGACACAGATTTGATAGAATGAATAATATCTGTGATTATTGTTATGCATTAAAATGGAAAGATGAAACTAAAGGATTTTGTTATATCAATAGTCAAATTGTTTTGGCAACTCTCTCACCAGCTCCATAAATAATATATAATTTTCTTATATAGAATTATCAAGAATCAGATGAACCTTTTGTAATTCAGATTTAAGCATACAATTAGGTTCTTGCATTTACATCTTTAGGTGTAAACCTTGATGAGAAACTTGCAAATACTAAAGAAAGGGTTTATACATTCAGGATTTAAGGAGAATTATATCATCAGATTGGTGGTCTTATGCCAAGAGATAATAATAAAAAGCTAACATTTGCTCAGATTTACTTTTATAATTCAAATTTGGATAGCCAACTTCAAAGGAGACAAGAAATATTTTCAAGTTTGAATGCTGAAATGCTCAAAGTATTACAAGTTGAACTTAATATAATCAATCTATTTGTTAATCAATTTGTAACCTCTGGAATAAAAGCAAAAAATGAATCAGATAATTCACATTGAAAAATAGTCATTTATAATACATATAGCAAGAATATGAGAAGATATAATAAACCAATAGCACCAGAAATTGCAGTTCTCCTTTATGACTATGATATTCAATCAGATTATAGAGATATTATTATAAAAACTCGAGAAAATAAGTTAAAACACATTTCTGAGTTAAATGGTACTTATGATCTATTACAATATCCTTTGCTATTTCCTTATGGTGAATATGGATAGCATAATAATATCTTACGAGCAAATGAAAATGAATTCAAATCTGAATTAAAAGTTGAATCAGAAGATGAAATGCAAATTGATAAAGAGAGAATTGTGCAAGAAATTAGGCATACTGGAGCAACTCAAGATTTTCAAAATCTTGATTTAGAACCTTTTTCAAGCTCAAGTAAAGATAAGGGTAAAGAAAAAGAAGTAGAAATAAAATAGAATCATATTAAATATATACACCTGAACAAGACGAAGAAGAAATTGAACCTATAATTATTTCTGATGATAATGAAAAAATAGATATTGATGAAAATAAAAATTGGAAAATCAACAACAAATTAAAAAAAGAAAACGGGTTACAATTAGAGAATTTGCAGCATATCAAATGCAAATTAGAGATTCAAATAAAATAAAAAGCATATTACATCTTTTTAGAAGATTATTTCAATAATATTTGGTAGATCAATATGCCAAAGATGAATCAAATCATTTGAAATAGCAAAGAGAAATGCAGCAAAATTTTAGATCTGAATTATTTTCAGGTTTGCATGACATTGTCTCTGATAAAGTTTTTTCTAGAGATAAGATTGGAAAAAAAATAATCTTATCATCTTCATTCACTGGATCTACCAGATACATACAATAATTATATCAAAATTCTATGGCAATAGTTAGAGAATTTGAAAAGCCTGATTTATTTGTCACTGTCACTTGCAATTCAAATTGGCCAGAAATTGTAGCAGAACTTTTACCAAATCAACAAGTAAGTGATCGATCTGATATAGTTGCAAGGATATTTAAGTTAAAATTAAAAGAAATCACCCATGATCTTTTTGTGAAAAGTGTTTTAGGAAGGGTATTGCTCATGTGCATGTAATTGGATTTCAAAAAAGAGGATTGTCACATGCATATATTTTAATGATCTTATTACCTGAAGATAAACTAAAACTACTAGAGGATTTTGATCAAATTATATGTGCAGAAATTTCTGATAAAGATCAACAACCATTATTATTTTCAACAGTTAGTAGAAATATGATTCATGGATCTTGCAGAGACTTAAATCCTGAATCACCTTGCATAGTTGATGGAAAATGTAGCAAATATTATTATAAAGAATTTGCTGCAATGATAACAACCAGTAAGCATGAATATCCAATATATAAAAGAAGGGATAATGGAAGAATAATCAAAAAAGAAAAGTTTACTATTGATAATAGATGGGTTAGATGGGTTGTTCCTTATAATCTCTATTTATATCAAAAATATGATTGTCATATAAATGTAGAAATATGTTCAAATATTCAATCAGTTAAATACAGTATCTCTACAAATATATTTACAAAGGACATTATTGTATTATTATATCAATTGAAAGCTTACAAGATGAAATTACAAAATATCTAAATTCAAAATATGTTTCTGCTATTGAAGCATTTTGGAGATTATTTAATTTTAGTTTGCAAAAAAGATTACATAAAGTTAAATGACTTTCAGTTCATTTAGAAGGTCAACATAATGTTATTTTTCGAGAATATGAAGATCTTTCAAGTGTTTTAGAAAAATCCTCACACACAAAATTAACCTGTTATTTTGAAATATGTAAAAATAATCAAAATAATTTGATTATAAATAATTTGCGCTATGTTGATTTTCCAAAATATTTTGTCTGGAAAAATGGAAACTGGCAACAAAGAAAATGAGGAGGTGAAAAAGTTATTTTAAGAATATATACTTGCAGCCCAAGAGACAAGAAAAGATTTATTTAAGAATTTTATTATCTCAAATTCGTGATATTACTTCTTTTAATAATATAAGTACTATAAATGTTATTAAATATTTTAATGAAGAAGTAATACGTCAACTTGGATTATTAAATAAAGAAGATGATAAATTTGATAAATGTCTTAAGGAAGCTGCGAGCTATCAAATGTCATCAAAACTAAGACAAATATTTGCCTCCATATTATTATTTTGTAATCCAAATGAATTGAATACAATGAAACTTTTAATGGATCACATAAATGATTTAAGTGAAGATTATGAATATCAACAACAATAACTTAAAAATACTAAAGATTTGGGTGATGATGGTTATGAAATTGTAATCATAAAAACATTAATAGATATTAAAAAATATTTATTATCATATGAAAGATGTTTAAAAAATTATTCTATTAGTCCTCCTGATTATTCTTTAATTAAAGTAAATGAAAAATTTGAAAAATCAGATCTAATAATGGAAGAATTAAATTATAATTTTAATGATTTAAAAACTCTTTTAAAAAAAGAGGATCTTTTAAATATTGACCAAAAAAGAATTAAACATTTAACATTTAACATTAAATCAGAAGAACAAATACAAACAGTATTTTTTGTTGATGGTCCTGAAGGTTATGGAAAGATCTATTTATTCAACATACTTTTAGCAAAAGTAAGATTAGATATTGGATTTGCTATTGCTGTTACTTTATCAGGAATTGCAGCTCTATTATTAGATGGTGAAAGAACAGTACATTCAAGATTTAAGATTCCCATCAAGTTGACAGAAACATCAACTTTAGATATAAGTTATACATTTGATTTATCCAAATTAATTTAAATGACAAAACTTACTATCTAGGATGAAGCACCAATAGCACATAATAAAATAAAGGTTTGGATAAAACCTGATAATTATGCCCAATCTGAATCCGAAATCTAGGCAATATTAGTTATGCCTCAACAAAAAATTTCCAAAATGTCCGATTGAGTCTGATACTGCCCAAATCCAAAATTCAATCTGAATTAATTGAAATTCTCTGAAACTTAATTATTCACGTGAAAATCAAATATATAACATTATTGGTA